CAATTGAGTGTATTTTATATGTATAATATATCAATATGTTACATATACATAAGTAAACAATAGTCTGTTTATTATGAAGTTTCTGTGTATAGTTAAATCAGTTTTAAAATAAGACTACTGTGCCAACTTCAACAGTATTTAGTATTATTTTTCACCTTGTGGTGACAGTATCATTTAGGTAAAATTCTTATGAAGACATTAGAAACCTCCTTAGGATTCTAAATAAGTGAAAGGAACCCATCACGCTTACATTTTGATTTTTCTAGAAAATTTAGAACATTCAAACCTATGAATACATCTACTTAGCAGAAAAAGAAAACATATTCTTCTTATACCAGCAACTTCATTACCAACACAGTCAGGAAATTGAGTGTTCCAGCTTACTGAACTTTCTAGCTGAGTGTTCAAGACATAGTTGGGAAAACACAGTATGATGGGACTATATCTGAGTAGCACTTTAGTCCTACAACATAGGAAGGTTTCCTCCATGGAAGTTACAAAAATTATTTTCTCTTTACTGCCGTTTGCAAAATATAGTCTTTCTCTATTTGAAAATAAGGAAGAAAGGATTTCACAAATGCATGTCTTTAGAAGCCCAAATTTTGTTTTTCATCACTTTATATGATAAATTATATAAATGGCAACTAAAAAGTCTCCATTTCATTTTAAGAAAAACAAAAACAAATCGACAATCTTTCTGCTTCAAGTGTTTCTGACAAGGTATGAAATCCTAGATTTTGTGCCCTTGATAGTTGTAATCAACATATTTAAAGTCTGTCAAATGAATCATGAAACCTTTTGGGTTTTTTCCCTGAAAGCTTTTTGACACAGGTCACTTTTGTCTGCATAGCTCTATATATTCTCTATATCCTTAAGTTTCCCTTCTTGCCCCTTTGGACATGAAGAAGACGCCCACTGTAACGGTATCACCATTTTCCACCCAACTACTGCCCTGGACTTCATCATGTTCTCCAGAAACTCATCATCCTGCAAAATCACATCAGCTCTAAAACTCACATCTCCTTAGCACCCTCTGCTGCTGGCTGCCTCTGCCTTTTGATTGGAGATGGTGCAAGGTGAACATCAGAGACCTTCTCCCAGATCTTTTAAGGAGGGCATCCAGGGCAGCTCTATCTTCATATCCTACCTGTTACATGCCCCCAAGTTTGTACCCTCTAACTCCTTTCTCCTCTAATCTTCAGCTTCTTTTTATGTTTTGTTGTGTTCCCTCATTAGATCGAGAACTCCTTGAAGGCAGAGACTTAATTTTGCCTTTCTTTGTTTCTCTAGTTTTTAACACATAGTAGACACTTAGTAATGTTTATTGACTGACTGATGATAACTAAAAGAACTTGTTTTTCTGAATTGTTACTTAAACAGTGCTGTTATTAGTTGTTGTAGTGGTAATAAGATAGTGCTTTCTTTCTGTTTACCTTCCATCTACTCTGTATGTTTGTGTACATAGTTGTTTGTCTGTTTTCTGTCCCACTAGAATGTGAACTTCTTGTGCATGGGGATCATATTTTTGCTTTTCTCTGTATCTCTAGCACTTAGCACAGTCCTGATACTTTATAAGTGTTTAATAAATGCTTATTGACTAATTAATAGTTCATATTTAAGTAGTAATTCAAAATTTGCAAAGTGCTTTCCTTACAGCAACCCTTGTGTTAGATAATGCAGATATTACTGAGTAGTGAACCTATAAATTTGTTATTGGACTTCCTTAAATGAGACATCATTTAGAGATATGAGAAAAGATCAGTCAGTTACTCATTATTTATTGTTTCCTATGTGCCAGGCAATGCTGAACACTGAGCATACAAAGATAAAAATGAAACAATCCCTGCCAGCAATGTCCTTATATTCTCTAAGGGGAGAAAACACGTACTGTATAGTTAAATATAAAAGAAATTGCAAGAAAAGAAATTGGGGTGAGAAAGATGCTGAAAGCTGGAAATAGGTTAAGAATAACATCATATAGAATATCAAACATGTGCCAAGTCCTTTAAAAAAAAAAAAACTAGGGATTTTAATAGATAAGGTGAGGAAAGAGTCAGTTCTTGGCATGAGGGGATTTCAAATGGTGTACCATGCATGACGAAGAAGAAGAAGGCCAGTTTGATTGGCTTTGTGTCCTTGAAGTGGCATAATGTGTAAAAAGCTTTTAAAAATAGATATTTGGAGGAGACTGAAGATAGGGAGGTTATTACAATAGCACAGGTTATCCATGGGTGAGGAACCTGTAGCCTCCAGGCCACATGTGGCTTTTTAGGTCCTTGGGTGTGCAGCCTTTTGACTGAGTCCAATTTTTACAGTAAAAATTCTTTTATTAAGAGAGTTCTATGAAGTTTGGATTTAGTCAAAGGGCTGCACTTGAGACCCTAGAGGGCCACATGTGACCTTGAGGCCGCAGGTTCCCCACCCCTGGATGCAGTTATGATGGCTGTGAAAGTAGAGAGATGGGCAGAGAGGTCAGCGATTTTGTAGAGGCAGAATCAGCATATTTGGCTGCTGATTCAATATTTGGGGTGAGGGAGAACAAGGAGTCAGATTATACTGAAGTTAACAACTTGAGTGATTGGAAGGATGACTGTGACTTCAACAAAAATATGGAAGTTCTCCGAAAAGGGTTTTTTTGGGGAGAGGGTAGGGAAGGTGGGTTCTCTTTTGGATATGTTGAGATGGAGTTGTATCTAAAATATCCAGTTTGAATTGGACAGATAATTTTCAATCAAGCAATATCTAAGAAATCAGAGGAAGTCATGGTATCTACTCTGATGTAGTCCCATTGTTCTTTTTACTTAGTAAGTAATGAAGTATTCTAAGATTTCAGAACTGTTTTTAAAAATATTTTATTTTTTCTCAGTTACACATAAAAACAATTTTTTACATTCCCTTTTTAAAATTTTGAGTTCCAAGTTCTCTCTCTCTCTTCCCTCCTTGCTTATTGAGAAAGCAAACAGTTTGATATAAGTTATACATGTGCAGTCATGTAAAACATATTTCCATACTAGTCTTGTTGTGAAAGAAAACAAAGAAAATAACCCAAGAAAAATTAAGTTAAAAAAATATGTTTTGATCTGCATTCAGTGTCTGTCAGGTCTTTCTCTGGAAGTGGATAGCATTTTTCATTATAAGTACTTTGGAAATGTCTTGAATCATTGTATTGCTGAGAATAGCTAAGTCATTCACAGCTGATCATCATACAGAATTGCTGTTAATGTATACAATGTTCTCCTTTTCTGCTCACTTTACTTGGTATCACTTCATGTAAGTCTTTCCAGGTTTTTTGAAAGCATCCTTTCCATCATTTCTTAGAGCATAATAATACTTTATTACAATCATATACCACAACTTTTTCAGCCATTCCCCAGTTGATGGGTGTCCCCTTATTTTCCAATTCTTTGCCACCACCAAAAGATCTGCTATAGTTTTGTATAAATTGGTCCCTTTAATTTTTTTTTGTTATCATTATCTCTTTGGCATGCAGACCTAGTGGTGATATTGGTGGGTCAATGGATATACGTAGTTTTATAGCACTTTTGGCATAGTTCCAAATTTCTCTCCAGAATGGTTTAATCATTTCACAACTCCACCAACAGTGCATTAGTGTCTCAATTTTCCCACATCCCCTCCAAAATTTGTCATTTTTCTTTTTTATAATATTAGCCAATCTGACAGATGTGAGGTGGTACATCAGAGTTGTTTTAATTTGTGTCTTTCTAGTCAGTAGTGAATTAGAGCATTTTTTCATATGTCTGTAGATAACTTTGATTACTTTATCTGAAAGGTCATATCCTTTGACCATTTATCAATTGGGAAATAGTTATTATTTTTTATGAATTTGACTGTTCTCTATATATTTGTGAAATAAGGCCTTTTTCAGAGAAACTTGCAGTATTTTTTTTTCAGAATTATAATTACTGTATATTTCCCTCCATCCTATTTTCCCTATTTATCCTTACATTCTTTCCTTTTACCCTGTCCATTCTCAGAAGTGTTTTGCTAATTACTCAAGTATGTATACATAATGTATTATACTCAGACCACACTATTATGGTAATAGCTGACTAGAGTATTCTTTGAACTTCATGTTATTCAGTACCTTTAGGAACGTCTTCTGTTCTTTTAGAATACATACAATAATATTGACTGTTTATGAGGTGTTGTTATATTTTACTGAACCTTTGATTTCATTGGTGTCTTGAGTGCCCAGTTCACCAAACTCTCTTCTACCCATACATATCCGTAACTATTCCCAAATATATAGTTAGAAAGAATTTCCTGAGGCATTGATCAGTTAAGTGGTTTGTCCAGGATCAAATATTTGGGAGCCTAAGAGCTCAAACAAGTGAGAGGTGAGACATGAGCTTCTGTCTTCTTGACTCCAAAGTGAGCTCTCTGTACACAATGTAGGCTCCAATTATTTCTTGTAAATGAGGATTTGTTGGGTAGCTTGTAAACTATGCTGTCTGTGGTCTTTCCCTCTTCTTCCTTCTACTATCAGAATTTGGACTCTGCCTGTAGGACCTTGACTTTAAAAATTAAGCACTCACTTTATCTTGCTTAGAACTAGATCATGCCACTTACTAGACATTTCCCAGACATTTTGCTCTTCCCAATGTGCCCTCCCACACCCTTTCCAACTCTTTCTCCCCTTGATGTGTTGTATTCTCTTCTAGAATGTAAGTTCTATAGGCAGTGTCTCATTTGCTTGTCTTTGTATCCCTAATGCTTAACATGGTGCCTGATACAAAGTGCTTAATAAATTTCTTTTTCATTCATGCATCCATTCAAAATCTTTGGTTTCCTGAGGGAGTATGGTTGTAAAACATGTTTTGGTACTAAAAGAACTGAATGGCTGACATCAAAAGAAAGGAAGTTTATTAAAGAAAGCAAACATTTTATATTTGATTAGGAGCTGATTATAGTGTTTGTATTCTGCTTAATAATGTTCAACCTTCAGTTTATTGAATAAATTGCTTTCTGTTTTGTTTTAGGTGATGGTTTTTGTGCATGCTCGAAATGCCACTGTACGAACAGCTATGGCTTTAAGAGAAAAAGCCAAAAATAATGGCCACATTTGCTATTTTTTACCAAACCAAGGAGCTGAATATGGACATGCTGAAAAACAGGTAGGGGACTGATGAGAATTTTTTAAAAATTGAAGTAAAAAACACATTACAGATATGTGACAATTGGCTGGACTTTCCTTTCTTTGACTGATGATGTTTTTAAGGAATATGTGACAGAAGTTAAATTATTATTACCTTCCATACTCCATTATAATTGCCCTGGTTTCTCCTGTTGTCTGGTTAAACACTATAAACTTACTTTTAGCTCTAATTTTCTGTACTTTTAAAATACAGACTTCCCTAACAAAAGTACAAACTTTTAAAAAAGCAGCAGCAAATTTTCATTAAGGTTGTGAAATCTGATCTTTAAATGACCTTTATTATGCATTTCTCAAAATAATCCTTTTAACTGTGCATATTTTTCAATAATGTGAAGTTACTACTTTTATACAATCTTTAGGAGTATTTTTATTTTCTATGTAGATTGAAAACATCACATACATCTCATTTTATGGAAGAAATTCAATGCTAAACTCAGTTACATTTTGTAGTTTAATTTAGCATTGCCTTGGTTATATTATTACTTGAAATTATTAGGCGTGTTTTGAAAGCATTACAAAATAATTAGTATGTATATATGTATAGTAAGGAACAAAATACTGTATATAAAGAAAATCCCAACGATTAAGATAGATTTTGTTAAAGGAATGTAAGAGAAGAATTTTTGTTTTCTTTTTTGACACTTAATAACTGTTCTCAGTTTCATTGTCTCCTTACTCTCAATACTTTCTTCACACTGCTGTTCAGTGTTACTTTGCAGCAGTGTAGTGGCTACATTAGTGGCTCCTTTTTCTTGACGCCCGCCATTTTCTTCTGACCTTCTCACCTTCTCACCTTCTCTCCTTTGTCCGAGAAGACTTTGCCTGTTACATTAGTGAAAAAAAATCACAGAATTACAGGATCTTGAGCTCACATTTTTCCCATATTTAATACTTCAAAATCTATTTCTTCACTTGTCTTTAACTCCTTTGTACTTTTCACTTAGGAAGATACGCCCATCTCCTTTGACAGGGATTATGGGTTTACTTGATCTGATCCTCTTCTCTGCCATCTTCTTCAGGAGTTTGTGTCATAAAATTTTCTACCTCTTAAGGATCTTGAGTCTCTCCCCGTCTCTCAATCTTTACTGCTTACAGACTAGTTCAGGGTTTCCCCATCCTGTCATACCCTCAAGCCATCTTGTGAATCTGTTATCTTTCACTGCCCAAATCTAGAATGAGACACCTTTTTAAGCAGTGGAGAATACAAATTGATTGAATGACAAATTATTAACAAAAATAATATCATATGGCCTGTTTACTATTTATAGTTACAATTATATATTTTTGTTATATAGATATAATAACTAACAGACATCTGACTATTATTTAGGATAAAAATGTATATTATTATTAACATAAAAGGGTAAAGATCACTAAACTACATCCATATTTATTAGCAGAAAGACAATTAGGATAAATATAAAAGAAAGATATAAAATATAAAAGAGATATAAATATAAAAAAAGAAATTTAAAAGAGAAACAAATTGAAGATAAGGACTACACGTTCTTTTCAAAATAAACATCAGACCTCACAAAAATTCTTCGATACTTGATTATGTAGTTGTTCTATATAAATTTAAACAGGCAGAAATTATACATACTGTATTTTTGCCTCATGACACCATAAATTTAAATAACAGTCAAATTAGTAAAATTATACAACTTTGTAGAACCTGAAAAAGCTACCTATTTAATAGTAATTGAGTTCTGAAAAGAAAACAGAGGGGAGAATACCCTTAGTGTAATATGTAAAAGACAGTACTCATAGAAAAGCCTGTGGGTTGAATCTATAAATCACCAACCATTTATTAAGTGCCCAGTATGTGCCAGGAACTATGCAAGTTAGGGAATTTAGCCAAAGCTGTTGTTTGAATCAAAGTCAAATTAGTAAGAAATAAAGTTGAAAATAAGTAAATTAAACTTACATAAGACACTGGAAAAGAACCAAAACCTCTGAAAAAGTTGAAAAAGAGAGAGATTATAAGCATAAGAACAGAAACAAGTAGACTTGAAAATGAATGAAGTTAATAATTAAAACTGAGTTGCTTTTTCGAAAAGACTAGTTAAATTGACAAACATCTTTCAAGTTTAGTCCAAAGACTGAGAATATGAATCAATTTCTAAAATTAAAAACAGGAAAGGAGAGACGGCAGCATGCACAAAAGAAATATAAAAACAATTTTGGGGGAGAGTACTTTATGTTACTATATTCTTTTTTTTTCTTTTTTGCATTTTAAGTTGTGTTTCTTAATGTTTGAACTCAGAAGTTATTGTTAGCACAAAAAGGGAGACACACTGCATTGGACTTGGAGTCAGGAGATCTGAATTTGAGTTCTGTATACAGTTATTTACTAGTTGTGAGGTCTAGGACAAATTTTCTCCTTATTCTGGGCCTTTTGTTTCTTTTACTTTTAAAAATATATTTTTTATTTATGAATTTTGTTTTTATATCTTTCAAATTTTGCATGTTCCTCACCATCCTCCTTCCAAGAGATATCCCTTTTTTTATTAATTAATTTATTTTTAGTTTTCAACATCCAGTTCCATAAGATTTTGAGTTTTAAATTTTCTCCCCTTCCCTTTCATCCCCCCTCCTCAAGACTGGGTGCAATCTAACATAGGCTTTGCATATACATTCATGTTAAACATATTTTCACATTATCCATGTTGTAAAGAAGAATTAAAGCTAATGGAAGGAACCATGAGAAAGAAGAAACAAAACAAAACAAAACAAACAAACAAAAGAGCAAATAGTATGCTCTGATCTGCATTCAGACTCCATAGTTCTTTCTGTGGATGTGGTTAGCATTTTCCATCATGAGTCTTTTGGAATTGTCTTAGATACTTGCACTGCTGAGGAGAGCTAAGTCTATCAAAGTTGGTCATCACACAATGTCAGAGATATCTCTTGTAATAAAAGATTTTTAAAGAGGAGAAAAAAAGAAGAAAAAATTAGCCAAACTAATCAGTACATTGGGAAAAAAATCTAGTGTTCAGACAAATCAGGTAATTATAGTAGTTATTCTATACCAAGAAACTGGCAAAAAATGACACAGTAGGAAATTATTTTTTTTAAATATGTGATATCTCAAGGGTTGAAATTAGAGGAGTCACTCAGTCATCAAAGATTTAGCTTGCCAAAAACAAACCAAAAAATATCCAGGCCAGATGATTTCACAGTGGAATTCTTTTAGAATTTATAAGTAAACATAATCTCTATTATATATTTATTCACTATTTATTTATTTTTTATTATGGTAATTTTTTTTTGTTTTCAACATTTACTTCCACAAGATTTTGAGTTCCAAATTTTCACTCCATCTTGCCCCTCCCCCCACCCCAAGATGGCATGCATTCTGAATACCCCTTCCCCTAGTCTGCCCTCCCTTCTATCTGTCTGCCCCCTTCTCTCATCCCCTTCTCCTTCAATTTTCCTATAGGGCAGGATGGATTTCTGTACCCCATTTCCTGTATTTCTTATTTCCCAGTTGCATGTGAAAACATTTTTTTTTAAACATGTGTTTTTAAAACTTTGGGTTCCAAATTTTCTCCCGTCCTCCCTTCCCACCCACCCTCATCGATAAGGCAAGCAACTGAATATAGGTTATATATGTGCAGTTATGCAAAACACTTCCATAGTAGACATGCTGTGAAAAACTAACTCTATTTCCCTTAATCCCATCCCCCCCGTTTATTCTATTCCCTCTTTTGACCCTGACCCTCCTCAGAAGTACTTGCTTCTGATTACCCCCTTTTCCAGTCTGCGTTCCTTTCCATCATCCCCCTACTCTCTTGTCCCCTTTCCCCCTTATTTTGCTGTAGGGCAAGACAGATTTCCATACCCAATTGAGTGTGTATGTTATTCCCTCCTTAAATCAAATTCTATGAGAATAAGATTGACTCATTCCCTCTCACCTTCCCCCATTTCCCCTCCACTATAAGAACCTTTTCTTTTCTGTTTTTTTGTGAGATAATTTACCCCGTTCTACCTCTCCCTTTTTCCTTCTCCTAGTATAATCCTCTCTCACCCCTTAATTTTATTCTCCAGATATGACCCCTTAATTTTAAACTCACCCTGTGTCCTCTATCTATCTATCTATCTATCTATCTATCTATCTATCTATCTATCTATCTATCTATCTATCTATCTATCTATATATATACGCACATATTATTTTTTTCCCCTCCAACTACCCTAATACTGACAAAGGTCTCATGAGTTACAAATATCATCTTTCCATACAGGAATGTAAACAGTTCAACCATAATAAGTCTCTTATGATTTTCTCTTTCCTGTTTACCTCTTCATGTTCCACTTGAGTCTTGTATCTGAAAATCAAATTTTCTATTAGGCTCTGGTCTTTTCATCAAGAATGCTTGAAAGTCCTCTGTTTCACTGAATGACCATTTTTTCCCCTGCAGGATTATACTCAGTTTTGCTGGGTAGGTGATTCTTGGTTGTAATCCTATCTCCTTTGCCCTCTGTAATATTATATTCCATGCCCTGTGGTCCCTTAATGTAGAAGCAGCTAAATCTTGTGTTATACTGATTGTGTTTCCACAATACTTGAATTGTTTCTTTCTGGCTGCTTGTAATACTTTCTCCTTGACCTGGGAACTCTGGAATTTGGCTACAAAAATATTCCTAGGAGTTTTCCTTTGGGGATGTCTTTCAGGAGGTGATTGGTGGATTCTTTCAATTTCTATTTTGCCCTCTTTTTCTAAAATATCAGGGCAGTTTTCCTTGATAATTTCTTGAAAGATGATGTCTAGGCTCTTTTTTTGATTGTGGCTTTCAGATAGTCCAATAATTTTTAAATTCTCTCTCCTAGATCTATTTTCCAGGTCAGTTGTTTTTCCAGTGAGATATTTCACATTATTTTCTAATTTTTCATTCTTTTGGATTTGTTTTACAGTGTCTTGATTTCTCACAAAGTCACTAGCTTCCAATTGCTCT